GTTTGTTAGCACCATTGATTTAGCACTTAGAGCGTGTCCTTTCTACCTTGTAATTATGGTCAGTGTTGACATAGAGCCCATACACCCAGCCTCCCCAACACCCTAAGCCTCTGTTCAGGAGAATTTATGGGTCTTAGTTTAATATGGCCATTTTATGTCTGTGTTCCCCAGTTAGAGCAAGGCTTGAGTTGCAGCCAAGGTCCTGTATTTCATTCGTCGAGGTCAGGGTTCCCAGGAAACCTCTGTTAAACTAAATAGTCTGCTCCACTGTTGCACCAGAGGGAACAGGGATTGCCCTCCCTTAAGGCTAGTTAAAACACACAATTGCCACATAGGATCCTAATCATGTCATTAATGTCATTCATGAGGGAAATATGATACAAGGTTATGACTCTGAATGGGGTACGGGTGGACTCATGTCACACTAAACCAAATACTTCCATTCAGAAACAGACAGGAAGGAATTGCCTCTAAATTCATTACAATGAGGCCCTCACTTTTAATCTATTAAGGGACTGTTAGAATGCTCTGTTAGAATGCTCTGTTAGAATGTTCTGTTAGAATGCTCTGTTGTAGACTATCGTGTTATTATGATGACTAAGGGGAACAGCTTGACAAAACAAGAGTAATCTGTGCCATTAAAGCTGTGTACCAGACAGTACAGCTACAGCCAACCAAGAGTTGGTCTGTTACAGTGAAAGGTAGGTAACCCAACACCTACAATGAAAGGTAATACTGTAGAACTCTGGTAACGTCTTCTTGATCCACCTCCAAAATATTCAGAGCAGGTGGCATTATTCTTCTTCTATGAAAAATGGAATGGGTTGTTTTGACATTCCCCTATAAACTAGTACACATAGGGCTCTATTTTCGGCTGGCTTTAAACCACGCTCGTTGGCAATTTCAACCTGTTAAAGCCGGCGCTCTGCTATTTTCCAACCCTTGCACCAGGATTGGTAGTTTACCTGTCTTATATCAGCTCGCTTGCGCTGAGGTGGGAGGGGTGGCAATATCTGAGGTGTGTCCTTAAAAGCGTGCGCCAAAGTGTCAATTTCAGGCAGTGCTGGTGGGGATGTTTAAGACCAACCAAAAGCTGGTTTTAGCGGTAACGTGTTGGTTATGGTATGGATTTTGACCCACGGAAGTGCTACCTATCTACCCGTGACCCACAGTGCCCATATGCTCATGGAACAAGACAAGAGATGTGCTTTTTGTGCCGGTAACCCTTGTATATTTATATATACAGTACCAGTCAAAAGTTTGGACACACCTACACATTCAAGGGTTTTTCTTTATTTTTACTATTTTTTACATTGTAGAATAATAGTGAAGACATCAAAACTATGAAATAACACATATGGAATCATGTAGTAACCAAAAAAGTGTTTAAACAAATCAAATTATATTTTATATTTGAGATTCTTCTTCAAATAGCCACCCTTTGCCTTGATGACAGCTCCCCTCAATGAAGGCTACTTTCTTTGTCCTGCCCAATGCATTCATCAAGTAGACCTACTAGTAGCCAAGCCTATCAATAAAGGCTTTGGCTCGTGAGACTGCTTTGAAATAAATCACCAAAGCTTTATTAATGGACCAATGCAGACATTTTTATATGAATATCAAATCATTTCTGGGTAACAATTAAGTACCTTACTGTAATATGTTTCCATTAAAATTGACAAAAATAGCTTTTTAGCAAAAAACAACACTATATGTATACAAAAGTATGTGGACACCCCTTAAAATTAGTGGATTCGGCTCTTTCAGCCACACATGTTGCTGAAAGGTTTGTAAAATCGAGCACACAGCCATGCGATCTCCATAGACAAACATTGGCAGTAGAATGGCCTTACTGAAGAGCTCAGTGACTTTCAACGTGACTTTCCAGTTCGTCAAATTTCTGCCCTGCTAGAGCTGCCCAGGTCAACTGTAAGTGCTGTTATTGAGCAACAATGGGTCAGCCACAAAGTGGTATGCCACACAAGCTCACAGAACAGGACCGCTGAGTGCTGAAGCACGTAAAAATCGTCTGTCCTCGGTTGCAACACTCACTACCGAGTTCCAAACTGCCTCTGGAAGCAACGTCAGCACAATAACTGTTTGTCGGGAGCTTCATGAAATGAGTTTCCATGGCTGAGCAGCCACACACAAGCCTAAGATCACCATGCGCAATGCCAAGCGTCGGCTGGAGTGGTGTAAAGCTCGCCACCATTGGAGCAGTAGAAACGCGTTCTCTGGAATGATGAATCACGCTTCACCATCTGGCAGTCCGACGGACGAATCTGGGTTTTCCCTGATGCCAGGAGAACGCTACCTGCCCAAATGCATAGTGCCAACTGTAAAGTTTGGTGGAGGATAAATAATGGTCTGGGGCTGTTTTTCATGGTTCGGGCTAGTCCCCTTAGTTCCAGTGTAGGGAAATCTTAACGCTACAGCATACAATTACATTCTAGATGATTCTGTACTTCCAACTTTGTGGCAACAGTTTGGGGAAGGTTATTTTCTGTTTCAGCATTACAATGCCCCCGTGCACAAATCAAGGTCCATACAAAAATGGTTTGTCGAGATCGTTGTGGGAGAACTTGACTGGCCTGCACAGAGCCCTGACCTCAACCCCATCAAACACCTTTGGGATGAATTGGAACACCGATTGCGAGCCAGGCCTAATTGCCCAACATCAGTGCCCAACCTCACTAATGCTCTTGTGTCTGAATGGAAGCAAGTCCCTGCAGCAATGTTCCAACATCTAGTGGAAAGCCTTCCCAGAAGAGTGGAGGCTGTTATAGCAGCAAAGGGGGGACCAACTCCATATTAATGCCCATGATTTTGGATGAGATGTTCGACGAGCAGGTGTCCACATACCTTTGGTCATGTAGTGTATTTCTCAAGGAAGAATTTTGCTATGACTGTCTGGGAGTGGTCTGAGTGGGGAGGGGAAAAATTCAAACTAGCTGTTATTGGCAGAGAGGTTTGGTACTCTCTTTGTTATTGGTCTATTAACCAATTTACAGCCTGTCATCAGGCAAGCTGAAACTCCAGCCCATGCAAACAGGCTGATTAGAAGGTCCTATGTAGATTGTATTTTCAACCAGCAACTATCAGGAAATAACACTGATCCATTTTCTTTCTCTCACTTTTACAGTGTTAGTTGCATCACCTGTTGTACAATATACAAAACACAGGAAAAATATAATTTTGACTGCACTGGGCCTTTAAAGGATTACGTTTGGGAAAAAACAGCGAGTTTACATCCCCTTTTTTTCTTTCTAGCCTATTGTACATTATTTCATTTCTCTTGTTCAAATATCCATCCCCATTTCCATAGAGCACCTCTCATCCGGTTAACGAAGACGGCCTACTCCAAACTTATTTAAATTATTCAGTCATATAAAGCCATATCAAGCGTAGGCCTAGGCTATATCTTGCTTATTGAGAACGTGCCTCACACATATAATACAATTTACGGGAGCCTAGTATTTTTTTTGGGGGGGGTAAGTGCGATGCGTAAAGACATGTAGGCTTATACTCGTTGAAGCCAATTACAACGTTGACTGCCAACACTCCAAACATATTGAGCAAACACTGGATGTTTTTTTACTGTTGCTATTACTCGTTACTGTAGCCTATGCTATTTAATAAACTGTAGTATAAATCCACAATGTACTGGGATTCGAATATTCTGTGCCCACAGCCGAATTGGAGTTGATGACAACGCAAAGGCGGTCAATAACCTACAGAACTTGAGACAACAGCATGCAGTATTAAGTCATGAGACGCGTTGATTAGCCAGTGCGTGGCCAAGCCCTCGTCACACCTAAAATGTATTTATTAATCAAAACCCAGCCCTTTCGCGCCACCGCCAACTATGAATATAGCAATACATATTTACCATTGTGTTAAGTTTGTTACAAAAGAGCCCATAGAGACTCCTTTATCTGATACTGAAGAGGAGACCGCTGTGTTCAACTAAGAGTTCATTAACTATTCCACTGGAAGACTGGAAATGATCCTTAACTCTTTCTACAACATGTCATATAGTACCGCTTGTGCATACTGTAAAAACAGGATATATGATGACACACAAATCCAAGCCATCCAATACTGCTTCAATCTGCAAACAAGGTCCTGAAAAGCTTAGAGGGCAGCGATGCCCAAATTGGAACACATTGATTTCCAGTAGAGTGGCTGTAACAAGTAGATAGACTGCATGTTTCTACACAGTGGCCATAAAACACAGGGAAATAGATTGAGGGAAAAGAGCTGAGATGCAGGATGCTTCACCTGCAGTTTGTGTTCAACACAGCCGGGGTTTCGCATGGCTTCTCTCTCAATTAACCCCCATGATACAGATACTGACTCAGTAATGAACCCCAATCCCATTATAGAAGATCTGATGGGCATTTCTCCCCCAGTGGCTCAATGATAGACAATGGAGGGGTTGGAATATAATAGAATTGATTAGAATTGATTATAATAGAATACAATCTACATGTAACTACCAAAATAAAGGAAACACCATCAAGTCTTTTAATAGGGCGTTTGGCCACCACGAGCCAGAACAGCGTCAATTCACCTTGGCATGGTTTCTACACGTTTCTCCCATAAGTGTTCAATTGGGTTAAGATCTGGTGACTGAGACAGCCATAGCATATGGTTTACATCGTTTTCATGCGCATCAAAACATTCAGTGACCACTCGTGCCCTGTGGATGGGGGCATTGTCATCCTATGGGGGCATAGCCATGGTGGCCAAAATAATGGCCTGCCCAGCATTGTTATACATGACCCTATACATGACCTTAACATGCTAGTTGCTTAATTAACTCAGAAACCACACCTGTGTGGAAGCACCTGCTTTCAATATACTTTGTATCCCTCATTTACTCAAGTGTTTCTATTATTTTGGCAGTTACCTGTGTGTAGCATGTTGATAAAGTGCATGAAGGAACTGTGACTGGCGTTGTTGATGCTGACCTTACTGACGATGTAAATGAGGTCACCTCTTTGGAAGGCCAGCTCGTCAGGCTCGTCTGCCTCACAGTCCCACAAGCCCTGGTAGTAATTGGCATAGTCCATGGACCACACTGAGCAAAAACACACAAATGCTGTTACCTAAAATATTACACTTGAACCGAAAGTCTAAATATCAAAACACTTTGAATAATTTGAATAGTGAGTAATACCCCTATCAATAATTATCTTTATCTAAAAGACACACCTACACACCTCCTCTCTAGAACAGCAGCTTGCTGATATCACATGTACTTCTTGCCCTCATCTATCTTGTATTAACGTAAACAGCTGGCAAATGCTGACAAAGAGGACTTTGTGTAAGAGGAAAAGTTGATACAGATCATTTCTCCTATTTTGCTGGTCAGTGAATGCTGTGAGTGGGATTCAGACCTGGTTTCGTGCTCTTCTCACTGATCTCTTCAATGGATCCTGGAAAGTCGTCGTCTGGAAAACAGGATGAAAACAAAAGGGGTGAGAAATGTCAAAAACTTTCCTGAAACAAAATCATGCACTTTCTGTATTGTGGAGATGTGGGTCCCGCCTTCTTCCTACTACCTCCATTGGCCCTCCAGTGCCTTTTAAGAAAATCTGGGCGCAACCAAAGAAGGGGAGAGAGATTTATTGGTGATAGGGTGAGAAAGTGAAAGAAAGAGACTGTCATTCGATACGCCATCTGTGGTCAGGGTCTACTCTGTACCCATCCCAGATGGCTTTCTATGGTGAAAAGACAGTTGGCAAGACATATTTCTCTCCAACCAATGATTTCGGAAAAGGGGAAACAGAATCTTGATGTATCTTAAATGGAGTAATGGATGATGACGTGGAGAAGTCACCCCCTATGCTCGTTCTCAGGACCCATTTAGCCACCCACCTGCCCGTGGGACAGTCCTGTATTTCCTCTGTAAACACAGTCACACCACTGACACTCTTATTAGGATAACATGATTTACAGAGAGGGAAAAAAGTATTTGATCCCCTGCTGATTTTGTACGTTTGCCCACTGACAAAGAAAGGATCAGTCTATAATTTTAATGGTAGGTTTATTTGAACAGTGAGAGACAGAATAACAACAAAAAAATCCAGAAAAACGCATGTCAAAAATGTTATAAATTGATTTGCATTTTAATGAGGGAAATACGTATTTGACCCCTCTGCAAAACATGACTTAGTACTTGGTGGCAATCACAGAGGTCAGACGTTTCTTGTAGTTGGCCACCAGGTTTGCACACATCTCAGGAGGGATTTTGTCCCACTCCTCTTTGCAGATCTTCTCCAAGTCATTAAGGTTTCGAGGCTGACGTTTGGCAACTCGAACCTTCAGCTCCCTCCACAGATTTTCTATGGGATTAAGGTCTGGAGACTGGCTAGGCCACTCCAGGACCTTAATGTGCTTCTTCTTGAGCCACTCCTTTGTTGCCTTGGCTGTGTGTTTTGGGTCATTGTCATGCTGGAATACCCATCCACGACCCATTTTCAATGCCCTGGCTGAGGGAAGGAGGTTCTCACCCAAGATTTGACGGTACATGGCCCCGTCCATCGTCCCTTTGATGCGGTGAAGTTGTCCTGTCCCCTTAGCAGAAAAACACCCCCAAAGCATAATGTTTCCACCACCATGTTTGACGGTGTGGATGGTGTTCTTGGGGTCATAGGCAGCATTCCTCCTCCTCCAAACACGGTGAGTTGAGTTGATGCCAAAGAGCTCCATTTTGGTCTCATCTGACCACAACACTTTCACCCAGTTCTCCTCTGAATCATTCAGATGTTCATTGGCAAACTTCAGACGGGCATGTATATGTGCTTTCTTGAGCAGGGGGACCTTGCGGGCGCTGCAGGATTTCTGTCCTTCACGGCTTTGTGTGTTACCAATTGTTTTCTTGGTGACTATGGTCCCAGCTGCCTTGAGATCATTGACAAGATCCTCCTGTGTAGTTCTGGGCTGATTCCTCACCGTTCTCATGATCATTGCAACTCCACGAGGTGAGATCTTGCATGGAGCCCCAGGCCGAGGGAGATTGACAGTTCTTTTGTGTTTCTTCCAGTTGCAAATAATCGCACCAACTGTTGTCACCTTCTCACCAAGCTGCTTGGCGATGGTCTTGTAGCCCATTCTAGCCTTGTGTAGGTCTACAATCTTGTCCCTGACATCCTTGGAGAGCTCTTTGGTCTTGGCCATGGTGGAGAGTTTGGAATCTGATTGATTGATTGCTTCTGTGGACAGATGTATTTTATACAGGTAACAAACTGAGATTAGGAGCACTCCCTTTAAGAGTGTGCTCCTAATCTCAGCTCATTACCTGTATAAAAGACACCTGGGAGCCAGAAATCTTTCTGATTGAGAGGGGGTCAAATACTTATTTCCCTCATTAAAATGCAAATCAATTTATAACATTTTTGACATGCGTTTTTTCTGGATTTTTGTTGTTGTTATTCTGTCTCTCACTGTTCAAATAAACCTACCATTAAAATTATAGACTGATCATTTCTTTGTCAGTGGGCAAACGTACAAAATCAGCAGGGGATCAAATACTTTTTTCCCTCACTGTATAATGTGTAATTAGTCTTCGAGTTACAGTGATAGTGATACACCTCCAAGAGGTTATGAGAATGTGTGTCTGTGTGTGTGTGTGTGTTCTCATACCTGGGAGGACCTCGTAGATATCATCCTCTTCCTCTTCCCCCCCCTGGCTAGGCCTCCATTCCTTGTGGCTACTGAGAGAGGCTTTGGCCTGCTGGGGCAGGACCGGGAAGGGTGCGGGGGTGGGCCGAGGGGGACGGCTGGCCACCCCCGTCACCCCCTCAATGTCATCATAGGTCTCCTCCTCCTCCTCTTCCTCATCGTCATCAAAGGGGATAAAGCTGGAACTCAAATCTGCATGGGACGGGAAGGCACGGCATAAAATAATGAGCAGTCTCTCTGTATAGAGCACAGCATGAGGTAAAGAGAAAGTAAAGGGGGATACCTGGTCAGTTGTATAACTGAATGCATTCAACTGAAACGTGTCTTCCGCATTTAACCCAACCCCTCTGAGCCACAACCACTTAAGTATCCATTGGACCCAGAGTAGTAGATGGCATCCACTGACTTCCTTCCCCATTTTGATAGTATTTTCTAAACATCTGTGAAATATCTAGTCATTCTGATGGACATTCGTGGACACCTTTGATGACCAGCCAGGGGGGAAAGGAAGTGAAAAATCTCAAATTCATCCAGCATAAACCCACAGCAAACAACAGAGAGCAAAACCTTCGTCTCCAACTCCCTGTATATCTGGGTCTTGTATAGTAGTAAAAGTGGACAAGACAAATGATGGGGTGTCTGTTACTTCCCGCAAATCAGCCCATTTTAGAGCAGCCGGTGCAGCCTGCCTCTCTCAGATGGAGCAGCGCTGTGATTGCTGGCGACTGGGCACTGCAACACAGGGTATCAGGTCCTCTGTGATACAGCATTGGCCAGGCAAAAATCAATGCCGCTAGAGGATAACCAGAACGTCTACCAATCAATTTCCCGTAAGGGGGAAATCGGTAGGGGGGAGAGGTGGGGGTGTGGCATGCGTGACATGAATGCCTTGTGACGTGGTGGATGAGGAGGTTCGGAAGGCATCTGATTGGTCAGTTTGGTGATGGATATATTTGGGAATGGATATAAATGGTTTATTTCCTGCCCTTTCAGGCCAAAAAGTCAGTGAGGCAATACCAATCTAACAGATGACAAGAAAACATACACAATCATCACTATATCCTTTTCTACTACAGTGTCTTTGAAATAGCTTTGGAAATATGTTGACATACCTTTCAGGACAAAGTTGATCTGGTCCACCCATTCCCTGGCTTCTCGTGGGCTGCTAGCAGTGAACTGGGGAGGATAGTCACCATCATACAGTATGATCATTAGGTAAGACTGGTATGCTATGAAACATCACTGTCATTCAATCCCATTGTGAGGAGACCCTTGTATTGTTATTGTACTGTACACCCACCTGGAAGGAGCGTCGGCCAGGGGCACTCATCTCAAAGCAGGCATTTTTCTTGGAGTCTTTACGTAGGTTGGCCACCAGCTCTGCACTGTAACCTTTGATATAGAAGGAGCCCTTCTGCTGCTTGTCTGAAGGAAGAATAGTGTTAACTCAATCTCCTCACCCAAATGTTCACATGTATGAGTTCCAGGCATAAATAACTGTACATGAATAAATTGTATGCCTTAGTGTGATGTGAGGGTTTCAAACCAACCTTTGTCACTCCCAAAGTAGTAGAATATTGTGTTATTGAGGACACACCATCGTCTTTGCCATTCTAAGCTGAAGAAGCTGTGATCTAAATGGAAAACGTAATGAAAACAAGTCTTTGAATGAGCACTCAACATAACATATTTCCATCATATTTGACTCCATAATCTTAGTACCTCGTCGTTTCTTCTCCAGGTAGCCTTGTTTCAAGATGTTACTGAGATCCTGGACTGCCGCCATTTGGATCTCCTCAAAGTCTGTGGAAGATCACAAAGTAAGATACATACAAAATGATAGAACATTTATGGACTGTTACGGTATTTGTCATGGACTCCATGTTGAAGATGGTTCTCTCCTGCCCAGAGAGCAGCAACAGGCCACACTGCAGCAGGCCCTGAATCAAATACACCACTGCAGCTTTGGGGAAACTGGGATCAATACATTTGCAGCACTTCTGCTGCTATTGCGGCTGTGCTGCAAATTATCAATGCAGCAGATACGGGGAATGACCAGAATGGGTCTCTGTATGGCTCCCTGGCCTGGAGCTTCAGTCATACATTGACTATGCACCTCAGAGGCCTTTAGGTGTGTGCTATTAACTGACCCGTGATCTAACAAATGTGCTACAGAGAGCCGTACCATGTTACAAGTGTAGCAGTGTAAATTAAGGGCATTTAAACATCCACTACATCTTAAATGGACATTCCTTGTCTCACTTTAGGATTCCACAGTTGACTGGAATTCAACCAAGGTGCCTGTCCTCCTGAACATGGCAAAACAAAGCTCAATCCCGATTATCAATTCATCTGTCATCGGGCTTCGACCTAGTTACCAAGGAGGGAGAATGGGGGAACAGGTGGCCTCCTTTGGTTTAGAGTGCAGGAGCCATTTAAATACCATTTATACTAGTCTGGGTGACCTTTCATTCAGACCACTGATGACAGGGAAAGAGGCCTGTAATCCATCTCCTTTGAACCAGACCTTGACTTCCTACGAACAAAACCAAACAAGCCGCGCCACAACTGTGTCTTCTTGTCCAAACAAAGTAGATGTTCAGCCAAGAGGAGTCCCCCCCCCCCCGTGTAGCTCAGTTGGTAGAGCATGGCGCTTGCAACGCCAGGGTTGTGGGTTCGTTTCCCACGGGGGCCAGTATGAAAATGTATGCACTCACTAACTGTAAGTCGCTCTGGATAAGAGCATCTGCTAAATGACTAAAATGTAAAATGTAATGTAAATGTAAAGCTGAAATGCTCCCTTAGCCAAAATGTCAGTGGCTATCTACTCCTGTCGTTTTAGTGTAGGCAAATGAATCTGGTCCAGAGTGCAATGGATTCAAAGTCATATCTGAACGTCATGCCGTATAAGGACCATAACAGAGATTCATATTATAAGCCAACGTGTGATATGGTAACCCTGCACTGTCCGCTGTACCTTGCAGGTCCTGCTGACATATGAGGTGGTCACAGCTCAGAGTGAGGCCCCAGACACCTCATGACACTAACACACTCTCATGTCAACCTGCTTTGTGGATGACTGACTCGTGTCAGCAGCTAGCGCTAAGCCGCTACAGACTGTTTTGTCAAAGAGAACCTGATTCAGTCCATCATAACAAAAGCCCTGTCATTAGGCTTCCCCCGCCTCATCCATCCAATGCTCTGTTCATTTTTCTAGGCCTGCTTCCCAGTCACGGCACCTTTCATCTGTTTACTTCCTTCCATCTACATTTATTTCAAAGGTCATGCCCAGTTAATAGTCAAGGAGATATAAAGTCAACACAGGGACAGGATGGTTAGATCTGCTTGAATCAGTAAACAACAGAGCTGTGGCTTGACCAAAGAGAGCTCCTTGACCAGGCAACCATGTGTTTCATACTGGATTTGAAAGATATCGGAACATTCAGGGAATTACTCTTAAGAATCATAATCAGCTTTATTCGCCAAGGACATTTACACATACTCAGAATTGTACTTGCTGATATGGTTCTGCTAGTGATAGACAACATTTTGAGACAGAGTTACAGCTCGAGGACCAAATTCACCAACAGGTAAGGGGCTGGGGTTTTTAATTATTCTTGCATGGTTCAGGGTTCTACCACAGGGTAGCACATGTTCAGTTTGCATACTGTACATTCAGAAATCCTACTCCCCTGACATATTTTTGATCCCAGCCCTCTGTATGACATATGCTGATTGGTCGACAGAAAGCAATACCTCATCTTATGAAAATACTTATCAACAGCTATAACAATATATCTACTCTTGGTTTGAGCCAAAAGTGAATAAGACTGATTAAAAACATGTATGATTCACATAAACCCTAAATACAGAATCCAATATGTTTCAATTATGATTTTTCTTAACACACATAAAGAAGCAATGAGATGATATTTTCCCCAAACTGAGCTAATGAAGGCTTCATCCAAATCCCAGATGGAGGCTGTTCTTCTATCAATCGTAGATTGCATTATCAATTATTCAGCTCTATGAATCGACTTCATTTTCATTTTTTAATTTTTAAATTACTGTCATTCATATCATTTATATTGTTATTAATAAAACAGCTATACACACCTACAAAAATCACATTTTAACCCCTAAACCAACATGATACAGGATGCATGTGAGCTGCCATAGCTGTGTCATGGCCACTCCTCAGTCTCAGCATGGTGTTATGAGCTCAGCAGTTGATCCAGCAAGAAACGCTTGATTTATGTGATAATGACTAGAAAGAGTTAATGTAGTTGCCCATTAAAATCCACTTCAGTTATGCTGCAAGTCAATCAGAGGCTGGCTTTAGAGTGAATCAAAATGAAGGCAAATGGTAGGTGGGAGGACTAACATTTTATATCTATACTGCCATAATGCAACAAAGATGTTACGAACACAATACATTATTTAAAGAGGCTGTTGGTGCTGCAGGATGATGAGAAATCACACCAAAATGTACGGTGTTTGATGTTCCAATTTATTTCATTATTTTTCTTCCATCTGTAAAAAATAAATAATAATAAATAACATTAACCATCTGCATGAAGCATTGCTAATGCAATGGTGTAGCCAGAGGAAGCGAGATCATATGGTGTGAGGGCAATGCTACCACAGACAGGAAGATTTACATTGAGTCATATGAAAATCTGGAGGTAGGCTTGCCTGGTGTGCAGTGTGCTGCCAAGACTCAGTGTGTCAGCTCAATCTGAAACCCCCCTGCGTAGGTGTCAACATTAGCCTGGGTTAAATGACTCATCGTTACCTGGAGGGCCTTGCCATACACAGCTGCCTACTGGAGAGGACTTTTTCCTGTTAACTTTTAGGTGAGCCAAAATGGGTGTGTCCCGGACCGGTCCGAGCTGGGCCAGGTGGGTTAGCAGAGCAGGTGAATTGATGAGGAAGATTACAGGAGGAAGATTTGGATAGGAACCATACTGTTTCTTCTCAGTATAGTCCTTGGATCCCTGGCACTAGCCTCTTCCCCTGTGTCTTTTGCTGTGAGAGATACTGCATTTTGTTGGAGTGGAGATACAATGGAGCCAAGACCTGACCTCCTTGTGAACCCTGGTGATGAGGTGAACCAGAAGGCAGAGGGAGCCCCCCCCCCCCCAGGCCTGGGGGCCGGAGTGGGAGGGAGGAATGCTGCTTTGGGAGACATAGCGAGTGTGACTGCGATCCCTTCCGACGCTGTCCTTGATTAGGAAAAAGGGTCCACTGAGTGCACCCTCACCCCACCCAGAGCTCCATCTGCACACAGCCCAGGCTAAATAGAGACATTTCTCCTCATAACAGGAGAGCCTCCTCCTTCCCTGTGTGTGCAAACCTCCACAAAGCCACCGTCAGGGGGGAGGAGGAGAGAGACAGAGAGGCTCTGAGGTTAAAGACCAAATGTCCTCCCTGCCCCCTACTCCAACCACTGATCTGATTATGATTTCACTCATCGATACGCAGAGCATATAGAACCAATCTCGTAATGCACGCATCTGAGCAAAAGCATACATAACATTAGTAGAGGTCCATGTTTTTTTTATGTAAATGGTTTTTATGTTATGTATCTGTACTGTGATGGCAAGGAGAGGTCAAATAGAAAGGACACAAATCTTTGCCTCTGTGTGAAGATTCCTCCTCCCAGTGGCTCTGAGAGGGAGCAGATCGCTTGCCTTAGTGTGCCTCTCTGCAGGGTAATAATATTATGTCAGTCCTGCCAGGCTCTGGTGCTTTCACATTCCCCATGCCAGTGTTCAGGCTGGGGACAGAGGGAGAAATATTACGATGTGACATCGGGTTCCCCCTGGGTAGCCATAAGGAGTGACTGCAGTGCCCTAAATTCCCTCTCATAGATTAACAACCACTACTCAAATACTTAACTGCAGATATAAGAATCCTCAAATCACAGGGGATGGCTTTCAGCCGCCTCACTGACACTTGGGGAAAAACTACAGTGGGGATATAGATTGCAACAATAGAGGAGCACAGCCAACAGGAGAGTTTGTCTGTTTGTGATAAAACACTGGTGATAGTAGCAAGTCAATGAGGGAGCCTTGATTGAAAATGTACAAGTCTAGGTCAGCATAGAGTGGGAATAAAAACTAAAATAGGGATTGAGATGGATTCATTACATACTGGCAGTTGCCTCATTTACATCAAGAAGTTCTCTGGAGGCAAAGTGCAATTATTTTGTTCTAACATTGTGGGTAGCTGAGAAGTAGTTGTAAAACAATCTAAACAAACAAAACCTGGGATTAATGTAGAATTGTATCTAAAAAATAAAAATAAAGCACTATTTGGATAAGATAATAATTCATTGCCCTACTAATTGTATCTTTTTATATAGGCTTTTAAATTAGTTGAGTGTTTTTATATATAAGATATAGCTTACAATTACAGCTTTAAAATGCAATACAATGCTTTTCTCTGAAAATATAAAAGAATATAAAAAAATGTAAGCATACAAATCTAAATTAATATTTATCAGCCAGCCAATATGAGAGGGAAAGTTCTAGAACGTTAATGTGTCCTTGATCATGTAATTTGTCTAATGAAAATCTCAGTGATTCCTAAATATGTGGGGAAATATTGATCATTATTAACCCTTATAATGTAGCAATACATTTAATTTGATGAGAAACAAGAATAAAACTGGTGGAAGATACTGTACATAGCTCTGCAATAAATAAATAGCAAATAAACAAGAGTAGATCTCTAACACATTTCGATGGATGTTTTTTTTCGCCAACAAGGAGATTTAGACCTGAAATTTAGACCTATTG